ATTATTTCATGTTTAGATATCGAGGTCATAATTTATATAGGTTTTAAGCTTATAAAAAAATCGTAAGGACACAAAAAATTACTTTTTAAGAAAAAAGGCAATTCAAAAATCACATTTTTTTTGTTTATTTTCGATTTTTCCATGCTTTAATATTGTCGGAGGTATTTTTAACCAACACCATCGAAAATAGGATCGTTAAAAACATAGAAATACTGGTTATCTAATATTTTTTCGTTGCACTCATTACGTGGCAAGGGTTCAAATGGAAATGTGTTCTCTGAGCATTTATGGGTTAATGTGACGTGATATAAACCATATGAATATCGTTTTCTATTACTTTTAAGACAATTACGACAAATTTAAGAAAAAAACTTTTCAAAAAAAAAATTTCGCAGACCTGTGTAATCTATCTGGGATCTGGGCAACAAAGAATGACAATTAATAATTAACATTTCTTTCTTCTTTCCTTTCAAAATTTTCTCATGAAATGTGTCATACAGAGAAAAAAGAATACCAAGCAGTATAGCACATCGAGGTAGTGTAAGAATGGAACCTGATATAGATTTTGTAGAAGATTCTCAGTATACTGCTAATATTTTTGCAAAATTGATCGCCTCTTACGCAGAGTATAAATGCAGTTCAGAAAATACAATTACAGTGCCAGCCACATATTTATTTGAGGTAAAAGCTGTTTGGTTAATGCAATAATTTTCTTCCTTTCTCTTATCAACCCTTGTCGAACTTACAAAGTGAAGGAAAACCATATAATTTAATTTGTAGGAAGGGATTTATAAGTTTCAAATCAAAAATACATCTCCGGTTGACCTTCAACTTGATTGGTTTTTCATGGAAGTAACTGATAACATAGATCTAGAGCAACAGAGACCTTGTTCAGCTATTTTTACGTCGTGTAAAAAAATTGCTCCCAGAAAACGTCCCCAAACGTGTTTTATATCATCTTCAAGCACATCCCTTCTACAAAGAAACCATCAACGTTTTAAACTAACTAGACCAGGTTTATTTAAATTAAATCCTTTTACTATCTATTACCTGTTCTAAAACAAATATTTTTTTTAGTAAACTTCTTATATAATGACACCCCTTCGGGTTCCTCCACTAGATCTTTGTTCAGTGCATCATCAGCATCCCTATGTGACTCGATTTGTAGCTGTGAAACGCATTTGCCTTTTATTATAAAACCATCGAGTGCATGCATTGACAAAATTGGGAAATCTCAAACGTTCGAAATACATTTTACGCCAAGAAAAGTAAATAATTACGAAGCGGACCTTGTAGCAGTAATACCGAATCTCACTCCCACACTGAAACCGCTCAAAATTCGAGTGAAAGCCACCTGTATGTTACCTTTGTGCCATTTTGAATTAGAGCCCAGTAATTATTTAAGTAGCAGACGAATTATAAAATCGTGCGACGATATTTTAGACGAAAATATTAAAGTTTTTGAAATTGAAGCAATCGGATTAGATGAGCCTACCGTAAGGTAATTACTTCTGACCATTTGCAATAGTTCAAAAACAAAAAATTCGTGTTGATCAATGTTTTTTTTCCATAATAATAACTATTAATAGTGATCTACCGTTTACAATACGAATAATATTAAGTTTTGGCAAAATTTTGAAATTTTTAGCTGATTCTTATGTATATTTACGAAAATTAATCCCTTTGCCTTTCTGATTACGTAAAAATCATTCCAATGTAGATCTTTTGGGATTATTAACCCAACGGGTGAAAGTTTCATGTACAAGTGGATTCCTCATAGTAAGGACACTGGAGGAGTATCAGTCTTCCACATTCACAATCCTGAGGGTTGCGTCCCTGAAGGAAGGACAACAAACGTTACTGTCACATTTTTGCCGAAAGAAGTGAACGTTTTCGAAAAATTCTACAAACTTCACATTGAAAAATATAATTTGATCGCTACGTTCCTTTTAGTTGGCACAGCTAGGGAAGCTAACGTGAATTTTACAAATTCGCATGTTACTTTAAAACCTGCCGTGGCAGGGCATGAAACCTATGAAAACGTTTTTTTAAAAAATTGCGAAGATTTTGATATTGGTTTTCAATTTAAGAAAAACAGTTTCTGTTCGTTAGCCGGTCGCGAATGCGTTGAAGTAGAACCATTAAGAGGTATTGTCAGTCCACATTGCGAAAAAAACANGTGTAATAAAAGATTGTGTTTTATTTATCTTTAAAAACAATTCAAATGTAATTTTTTACATTTGCAGACAATATACAACAGTTAAGTAAATATTGAATATAACAGACTTTGTAAAAAATTCTTATTAAACTTACTTCAGAATGAAGTTGTCACCAAGATAAACAGTGGGTTACTATAAAATATGCCGGTTATGTGTTGAAGTGTTAAGACAGTGGACTTATTGGTAAATCAAAATCATTGTTATTAGGCATTTCTGTCCAAATTAGAATGCAATTGGAACACGGAGTGAAAAATGTTATCAATACGAGTTTGAAAGAAGAAAGTATTGCTTCCACCACTGTACATTAAACTTGATTTGATCCAACAGTTTGTAAAGGCATTTCGACTTGACCAACGGTGATTATTTCATGTTTAGATATCGAGGTCATGATTCATATAGGTTTTAAGCATATAAAAAAATCGTAAGGACACAAAAAAATACTTTTTAAGAAAAAAGTCAATTCAAAAATCACATTTTTTTTGTTTATTTTCGATTTTTCCATGCTTTAATATTGTCGGAGGTATTTTTAACCACACCATCGAAAATAGGATCGTTAAAAACATAGAAATACTGGTTATCTAATATTTTTTCGTTGCACTCATTACGTGGCAAGGGTTCAAATGGAAATGTGTTCTCTGAGCATTTATGGGTTAATGTGACGTGATATAAACCATATGAATATCGTTTTCTATTACTTTTAAGACAATTACGACAAATTTAAGAAAAAAACTTTTCAAAAAAAAAATTTCGCAGACCTGTGTAATCTATCTGGGATCTGGGCAACAAAGAATGACAATTAATAATTAACATTTCTTTCTTCTTTCCTTTCAAAATTTTCTCATGAAATGTGTCATACAGAGAAAAAAGAATACCAAGCAGTATAGCACATCGAGGTAGTGTAAGAATGGAACCTGATATAGATTTTGTAGAAGATTCTCAGTATACTGCTAATATTTTTGCAAAATTGATCGCCTCTTACGCAGAGTATAAATGCAGTTCAGAAAATACAATTACAGTGCCAGCCACATATTTATTTGAGGTAAAAGCTGTTTGGTTAATGCAATAATTTTCTTCCTTTCTCTTATCAACCCTTGTCGAACTTACAAAGTGAAGGAAAACCATATAATTTAATTTGTAGGAAGGGATTTATAAATTTCAAATCAAAAATACATCTCCGGTTGACCTTCAACTTGATTGGTTTTTCATGGAAGTAACTGATAACATAGATCTAGAGCAACAGAGACCTTGTTCAGCTATTTTTACGTCGTGTAAAAAAATTGCTCCCAGAAAACGTCCCCAAACGTGTTTTATATCATCTTCAAGCACATCCCTTCTACAAAGAAACCATCAACGTTTTAAACTAACTAGACCAGGTTTATTTAAATTAAATCCTTTTACTATCTATTACCTGTTCTAAAACAAATATTTTTTTTAGTAAACTTCTTATATAATGACACCCCTTCGGGTTCCTCCACTAGATCTTTGTTCAGTGCATCATCAGCATCCCTATGTGACTCGATTTGTAGCTGTGAAACGCATTTGCCTTTTATTATAAAACCATCGAGTGCATGCATTGACAAAATTGGGAAATCTCAAACGTTCGAAATACATTTTACGCCAAGAAAAGTAAATAATTACGAAGCGGACCTTGTAGCAGTAATACCGAATCTCACTCCCACACTGAAACCGCTCAAAATTCGAGTGAAAGCCACCTGTATGTTACCTTTGTGCCATTTTGAATTAGAGCCCAGTAATTATTTAAGTCGTGCGACGATATTTTAGACGAAAATATTAAAGTTTTTGAAATTGAAGCAATCGGATTAGATGAGCCTACCGTAAGGTAATTACTTCTGACCATTTGCAATAGTTCAAAAACAAAAAATTCGTGTTGATCAATGTTTTTTTTCCATAATAATAACTATTAATAGTGATCTACCGTTTACAATACGAATAATATTAAGTTTTGGCAAAATTTTGAAATTTTTAGCTGATTCTTATGTATATTTACGAAAATTAATCCCTTTGCCTTTCTGATTACGTAAAAATCATTCCAATGTAGATCTTTTGGGATTATTAACCCAACGGGTGAAAGTTTCATGTACAAGTGGATTCCTCATAGTAAGGACACTGGAGGAGTATCAGTCTTCCACATTCACAATCCTGAGGGTTGCGTCCCTGAAGGAAGGACAACAAACGTTACTGTCACATTTTTGCCGAAAGAAGTGAACGTTTTCGAAAAATTCTACAAACTTCACATTGAAAAATATAATTTGATCGCTACGTTCCTTTTAGTTGGCACAGCTAGGGAAGCTAACGTGAATTTTACAAATTCGCATGTTACTTTAAAACCTGCCGTGGCAGGGCATGAAACCTATGAAAACGTTTTTTTAAAAAATTGCGAAGATTTTGATATTGGTTTTCAATTTAAGAAAAACAGTTTCTGTTCGTTAGCCGGTCGCGAATGCGTTGAAGTAGAACCATTAAGAGGTATTGTCAGTCCACATTGCGAAAAAAACATAAAGTAAGTGCCTTTATTGTGTAATAACTTGAAAAATGTTGAAGAAGAAAAATCACATTGATGCAAATTTTTTCTTCGAGATGAGCCCTCTGGAATATCCTTTCATTCCACAGGGGGCTTTAACCAACTTCTTAAGTTTTAAACTATTAGACTCAATTCTGACTTATCGATCTCAAAGGACAAATTTGCATTAAAGACATTTTTATTTTTCCCTTTAATGTTTTAATTCCGTCTGTTCTTCCCTTAATACTTTCAAGAATTTCATACACTACCACAAAAATCGGTGAGGTCAGATTCAAATTAAAATGCAAAATAGAGAGAATAAAAAAACCGTTATCTTTATTCGTAACTGCAAGTTGCTTCGAAGTTGAACCCTTAGTAAACTACACAATTGAAGGGATGCAACCGAAAACTTTAGAGGCAAATAACGTAAACACCATACAATTCAATAATGTGAGTTCAGAATTCCCGTTTGTTTGCAATAAAATTATTTATTTTTCAATTAAAACTTCAGTTGTATCCTCATCACATGGAAAAGGTGACGTTTAAAGTAATAAATCGGGGACAAATAGCGTTTTTCTATAACTGGACTGTGAAAGAGGCTTTTGATGACAGGGTAGAGTTGTGTATTAACCCGAAAGAAGGGTTTGTACAAGTTGACTCAAACGATGAAAGTTTAGTGACATTGATGCCTTTAACAAAAGTAACAGTAGATAAGATCGCTATCGTTTTAAAGGTAATTTTGGTTGATTGCAAATGAACTACTACAAAACTCTTATGTTTTGGTCCCAGATATTGTATGGTCCTTCCTATGTAGTTCATATCTCTGGTTATGTCCCTGTGTTCTCCTTTAAATTTTCCTTCAATGAATATAAATTTGGACGCTGTTTATTGCAAGTTGACAAAAGCAGTTATTATCACGCTGTTCTAGAATTTTGGAATAGTGGAGACACCGAGGTCATGTAAGTGAAGTTAAAAAGAAAATTAATTGTATTCATGTCGCAATTTTGATAAGCAAGACATTCCATTTGCAATTATAACAGATCAAATAGATCATAATCTGCTTCTAGACTAGAATACAAATCAGAGAGGGTAGAGTTTCTAACAGTTGACTTTAAGTCAGGGAAAATACCCCCTAAGAAGAACAAAAAGATATTAATCAGTTTTCATCCCTTCGTAGAAGGATTTTATAATATGAAGCTTTTATTTACTGTTAATTCGCAAGGACATAACATTGGAATTACTGGCGAAGGAGTGCCTTTGAAATTAGAATTGGTTAATATTGCAAACAGGTTTATAAATTTGGGTTGCCCCCAAGTAGGGAAAACAGTCAAAAAAGTGGTTAAAGTAATAAATAACAGCAAAACGGAAGTGTCCGTAATGTTTGACCTACCCAATCGACTACCTTTCTTTCACAAACCCCCTAAAAAGTTACCTGTTGAATTCGAAAGAATTAAGGAAGAAAAGAAGGGTGTCAGTCTCTCAAAAAAGAAATCACAGTAAGCAGAAACGAAAAAAAATTAAATTTAATTAATTAATTAATTTTTATAAAATTGTAATTAGAAAAGATGATTCTAAGAAGGACCAGGGTGAAGAAAAGGGTGGCAAAGGGAAAGGTAAAGGTAAAGGTAAAGGTGGCAAAGCAAAAGAAAAGGGTAGCAAAACAAAAGACAAAGGCAGCAAAACAAAAGATAAGAAAAGTAAAGATTCTGGTAAAAAGAAAGGGAGCAAGGGATCAAGTGCAGATGGTAAAAAAGGCAAAAAGGATAAAGGTTCATCTGCAAGTAAGGCGAGCAAAGATGAAGCGGCGAAAAAAACGATTGTGTGAGCAACAACACCTTATAGCTTTTAAAATATAAATATTCATTAGATATTTAATTTTATTAAAATACCATTAAACTTTTTTAATTTATATTTTAAACAGTCAACCACAGGTGGATCCTGAAGTACAGCGACAAAAATTTATAGAACAATCCATTTCGGTTACACCGAAAAGATTTTCGAAATTACTACCGAATCGTGAAATGGAATTCTCTGTGATTTATTCTCCAAAATCGCGGTTGACTTCGTTCACAAAAGATGTATAAATAAAACGAACTGTTTCGTATTCTCAATTAAATAAACTTTAATTTTACCTCGCATTGTAGATATCCTATCAAATCCAAGACAAAGTGGAGAATATTTGCACTGTTAAAGGTTGCTCGTTAGACAGCAATTTTGAACTTGATAAAAGTGTTATTAGTTTCGGAAGTGTAATTGAAAAATGTGCCAGGGAAGAAATGGTTACTTTAAGTAATTTAGGTGATACTAGTGGAAGGTGAGATCAAGTTAAAATAGTACTAATAAACGTCTAATCAATACATATGTAAATAAGCAAAAATAGACGTACGCTCTCAGGATTATTTAAGACTTTCTCAAAATTCTCCTTGCTGTATACAAGAAATATGTACCTGATCTGAAATTTTCGTTAAAGATTTCACTGGAAGTTTGACAGATCGACTCAGAAAACTTTCTCAATAACACCCATGTCAGGACATATTTCTCAGGGCACTACTGAATCATTTGTTGTCAAATTTGAACCTCCTCGAGTGGATTGCCTTTTCAAACGAAAGGTATTAGATCAATTCAGACTGTGAACGTTTCCACAAGCAGTTGACAATGTTTATCCCTTTTCTATACATGATTTTCAGCTTACATGTTATATCGACGGTTACAGAAGGCCTCTTGAACTTATTCTAACTGGAAATTGTATAAAAATGCCAGCACCAAAAGAAGCATTACGATTCATATGTCCTGTTAGAGAAACACAATCGAAATTTGTCAAAGTTGATAACCCGTACGAGTGCTTTTAACTGTTATGCGAAATATTTCATATCAAAATCAAAAATAAATTTCAGAAGCGATGACGAGTGGATGATTAAACCTCAAGTTAATGGAAATTATTTTCACGCCACCGATTTTCTTACGATCCAACCTCATTCATATAAAGAATGTGAAGTACTTTATACACCCATGGAAATGACCAGTCAGGGTCGAACACATAATGTAATTTGAATTTTTATTGTACCTCAAAGTCGCCAATATTTCGTATTACATTAATCTACCCGATTTCAATTAATTATCTACAAAATATTAATAGTTCAAGATCCCAGTCTCCAGACATTACTTATTTTCTAGATAACAAAATTGGTGGGATAGAATAGGGTAATAGTCTTTCTTGGACTATTAGTATTTTAAACTAAAAATTATTTGGTATACTGTTCACTCTCAATACACACTATCGAGCGTTCACACTGTCGAGTGTTCATACTTCGTTAGGTGAAACGTATGCCGTTTAATTTTTTAATTTTAGGGTTTTATCTTTTTTCTATTTCCCGATTCGCACGGTCAAGTTTGGACCTTGTCGGGAATTACCGAACCCCCTAATCCAGTTGAAAAAATATTCAGAGTAATCACTTGTAAAAAATACCATACCGAAGTATTGGAAGTTGAAAACTGGCTTGGTATACCCCAACAATTTCGTGTTATTACAACCGAGTTGCCCGAAACTGTAACAGAAGGATCGAAAACATCCAAAGGGTCGCAAAAGAGCACCAGTAAATCGGCCAAATCGAAACCGTCGAAGACAATCGCCGAATTAGCATTATATAAACTTGACATTAATGAAATTATCAACGTTATTGCTAATGGCAGAATCAGGTTCCCGTGGACAATTTTCGTAATTAAAGAAGGATGTCTAAGTTTTGAGGTACCTAGTTATATTATATTTATGATCACCATCTAGATTGGAATTGTTTATCTAACGTTTCGCTAACTACTCTGTTTTTATCCCTGAATTTCGTTTTGATCTTTAGGTAAAATTCGAAAATGAAAAAACAAAAGAATACGTGTACTACATCATAAATTTAACGATTGATAAATGCGATGAACTGGAACAAATACACCTGACAACTTGCGTCAGGCAACCGTTGACTCATAAACTCAAATTTGAAAATGTTATTAAGACACCAGTTGTATTTAACTTTTCCAGTGATAGTCCAATTCTTTCGTTTCCTAATACGACTACTGTGGAACCCTATTCTGAGGTAAGTAAAAGTACTTCGACTGAAAACATTTTGGCAATATTCATTTTCGGTCTTCTAAACCCATTTTGTGGATTTTGTCAATGATTTTCGAGGTGGTGAACGTCGGCAGTCTTCCGCTCTTCGTAACTGTAGACATTTACTTTTTTAAAAGCTAAAAGGTATTGAAAATTTCGCCAGCATTACTGCAGCTCCGAGAAAAAGTATTTGTGACTTAAAAGTTGGCTATTTTCGGTGGTTGTAAATGAGTATATTACAAAGTGAATTACATCAGGGTCGAATAGTGGATTATATTTCTTTGAAAAGGGGAAAGAATCTCAGACCTTTGCGACTTTTTTAGATATGTATTCTACAAATTTTATTTTGAAACTAAAAGTACGATGTACAAATTTCATAAGTTTAAAACCTTATTCGATTGCTTCGATTGACATTAAACAACTTACAACGTCCCAATACGGTTTACTTTCTAGTAACTGTAGGATCAAGCGATTTTGAATGGAAATATAATCGCGCCAAAAGGCCTAAAATAACGTTTTCTTTTTACGCTATTATTTGTATTGATCTGTACTATTTGTTTCAGTACTTTTTGGAAATCATATTCACTCCTCTACTACCAGAAACAACCGAAGTTCATCTTCAAGCAACTACTCAAGAGCTGGGAACGTATCCATTCACATTCGTTTTAACTGGACTCCCTCCAATCCCCGAACCCCCTATTTATTTTAATGCCATCTTGGGACGTACCGAAGTTGGAAAAGGAATTATACAAAATACTGCCAAAACCTCCACGGAATATACGCCCTATGTAAGTTCATTCACAATTCATTGAAATTTTAGAAAACATAAAAATAAAATGTTGGTTATTTCAGTTTGATGACCCAAATTTATTTAAACTTGAAGCAGTGCCGATTGTGACATATCCTGAAAAAGATGCTGAATTTACTGTTGTTTTTGATCCTAGCTCCCTAGGAGAGATACATTCAAATTTAACTTTAACTTCGTCGATTGCAGGAACATTTCGGTAATTTTAATAAACTACATTAAATTTCTAGTACTTTAGTAAAAATCGCATCAAAATCGCTGCATAAATGTCTAAATAATGGATACATTAACTTTCGATATTTAAAGTGGCGCCTAAAGGCGAATGAACTCTCACAAACACCTCCGCCGCCGCCACTCCAAAGGGCTTCCCTGCGCAAACAGGTGCGACCTGACCTAATTTTCTATTGGCTGTCGCATTCTTGTCGTATAATAACAATAACATTTTACTGAAATAGTTAGTCACCCGCGATGCTTGGTAGAGTGTACACCGGTGCGCCAAAACTTAGGTTACGATTACGTAAATTAACCTTTTGTTTTTAAAATCGTTATTTTTTAAAATAATTAACAAAAATCATATTAAAAATATCAAAGGAAAACATCGCCTAACTCTAATAAACTATTTATTTACTTAAGAAAGCCTATTTTTTATAAACAGAAAAAACAAGCAAATTGAACTGGTAAAGAGATTAGTGAAATATAATTCATCAGTTAATTGTAATCAATTTACTGTACCTTTTTTAAATGATTTTAATTTTAACAATACTGAAATGGAATGAAAAATAAAGGAAAAGATAAAATGCTACAACAGGCAGATACAAACTATATTAACCTATCTATAGTTATCTAAAATATGACTAAAAATGTGCAAAATAACTAATAATACAAAATATTAAATAAAATTTGTAAATTAAGTGGTACACACTAAAGGTGAAAGGTGAGTGTAATTAAAGTTAGTTAGAATTAATGGTCAATATTTCAGTTAAGTTTACGGATTAAACTTTTTAAAATGCTCAAACGACCAATCTGAAAAAGCACTGTCGAGTGAATCAGCTTTAATTTTATTAACTTCCCAACTATTTTTCATGAAAAACCCTATTTTATTTCTGTTTTAATAATTTTGTTTCAGATATCCTTTAACAGCAAAAGTCGATTTACCAAAACCAATTGGTCCTTTTTTCGTTAGACCATCGCTGGTAACATACATCGACTTTCGTAACCCATTCTTACAAGATAGACTTTTTCGATTTGTGTGCGAGTCGCCCATTTTTTTGCTGAAGAATGATACAGATGTAATTATGGCTAAAAGGGACTACAGAATTTCAGTATCCATACAAAGTACAAAAAGTCACAGTACAATATCGGAAGAAAGAAAATATCCTCTAACTGGTAAGCTTGTTGTTTATTGTGAAGATACTGATGTGGAACACATAAAATGGACCTACTATTTGCAAGCAAATCTGTAGACTTTACATTTTATTTTATATTTTTTCGCTTTTACAGTGCATTTTTCATAATCAGTATTTTATCTTAAAAATTGAATTTAAAGACAATTAAAAACAAAAATATTAAAAAGCTTAAATTCAATTAATAAACAAATCGTTTTGTAAGCAGTAATTGTCTTTACATATTTTGTTTTAAATTAAGTAAATACAAAACTAATGCTAAAATATTAAAACATTATTACATATTTCATATGTAGTGACTACTTAAACTACAAATTATACTATTAATTATTTTTTGAAGAACATGTCGACTACTTTGGTGGTGCTTGGTTTTTATTATTATGATAATTAAAGCTTTCTTCAAAGTGCAGTTTGGGATTATTAGCTATCTCTTGAACCCTTAAAATAAACAGGTCGATTAAATGTTGTTTAATAAAGACAAAGTAGAGCAAATTATTCATGATCTGAAGCAATTTATAGTTAGTACGTTTATCTTGGCTACTGTCCCCAAAACTGACGCAATCCTTATAGGATAGGATATAATCCTTAAAATCATAATTTAAATACACCCACTAATACAGCATTCATACGTTAACCAACTACATAAAAATTATTTTTAATTAATTTGGAAATATTACATTCATTTTTAGAAATAGTTATAATATCTTGTTAGTGTTGTAGTTTTATTGGGGTATTTTCTTTAAAGACGGATCAGTTTCTATTTAGGAATTAAATTGTGTTAATATAATTGAACACATCTATAAACCCTATTATCTATGTATTATAGGTATAGAAGGAATTTTTATCTATGGGTCTTCCGGCGATCTTGTCTGTCATCTTTTCTTCGGCTTCGATCACCCTTTATGTATCTATTATCTATGGCTTCGATTAACTATCGTCTTCGAGAAGGCGATAATGCAAGCCGCCGTTTTTGCTGTTCGTAAATGGAGACGTCTGAAGGTATTTAGCTCTAATTTTTTTTTAATTTCCGTTGTTTGATTGTGTGGAATACATTTCTATTTAGCCCTTGGTGGGTTTCGATTACCGATGCTTAGATTTTATTTAGCGTGAACGAATTCGGTAACGTACTAGTTTTGTGCTCCAACATGGGTGTCCATCTTACCTGACTATTTATCCAATATGAATTTTTATAGATTATTAGTTTATTTGAGATCGAATAATTGGTATTTTGCTAAGAGTTTTTGAATTTTGAAAACAGATTTAGGCGATGATTGTAGATTTTTCATACTGATGTGACCACGTCGTGAAGAATTGCTTTCGTTTTATGGCCAAAATATGTTAAATATTTCTCAAAAGTTTTTCATCTTTGCCTTCTTATTGTAGAGATTGGGTTTTAACGACTGTTTTTTTTTTTTATATACAGGGTTGCCTTGCAGATAACATTCTTGGATTACCTATATGGACGAACTACTTGCAGATGTTATCAGTGACAGTCAGATTTACTTTTATTTCCAAAAATATTTCTGATGAGGTGGTCGAAAAATACGTAGACATAGGATGTTAACGATGGTAATTATCATTTATAATAAAATAAAATCTAATGAACATAATAATTAACATTAAGTTGTTCCAACAGGTTTCCATGAAAACAGAATATGTAAATGAACACAGAGGGTAAATCAAAAGGAGTCGAAATGTAAAGAAACAGAGCCCCACTCTTCTTTCTCTTGGACTTGGAGTGGAGTCATGTGTTGAAAGGGTAAGAAATCTTTAATTATTTTATGAAGTTGTGTGTGAAATAGTTTGTGATTTTCTAAATCTTGTATTTCATTTGTTTCACAATAATTACTGCTAAAGTTTCTTACTCTTCTGAATTGTTATAGTTGGACCGTTTTATTATGTTTTAAAACATAATAGTTAAGATGAAACTAACATTAAATTGTTTCGACAGGTTATCATTTAAACTTATTAAACGAACAAGAAAACAAAAAATAAGGATTCAAAATGTGGAGAAGTGGAATCCTTGGAAAGTGCAATTTTTAGAGAACGAATGAAGTCCAATTCACATTAATGTATTTAGGAATGAAACATGATCACCATAGAGTTATCGTTGAGGTAATAAATTGCTTTACTGTTTATTATTTTGATAGTACTTATTTTCATAGTAATTTGCCATGTCTGGCATCTATGGTTTTTGTTCTCTAACAGATATCTATTGTCCACATCTATGATTTTCTTCTATCAATTATCTGTTGTGTACAGGCATCTATGGTCACTTCTATAGCCTTTAACATTTATCTATGTCTTGAATAAAATTGACAATACATCGCCATTTTATAATTTAGGTATTTTACTTGTCTTTTCGTGTATGTTTTTATTACATTATTTATTTTAATGCCATCTTGGGACGTACCGAAGTTGGAAAAGGAATTATACAAAATACTGCCAAAACCTCCACGGAATATACGCCCTATGTAAGTTCATTCACAATTCATTGAAATTTTAGAAAACATAAAAATAAAATGTTGGTTATTTCAGTTTGATGACCCAAATTTATTTAAACTTGAAGCAGTGCCGATTGTGACATATCCTGAAAAAGATGCTGAATTTACTGTTGTTTTTGATCCTAGCTCCCTAGGAGAGATACATTCAAATTTAACTTTAACTTCGTCGATTGCAGGAACATTTCGGTAATTTTAATAAACTACATTAAATTTCTAGTACTTTAGTAAAAATCGCATCAAAATCGCTGCATAAATGTCTAAATAATGGATACATTAACTTTCGATATTTAAAGTGGCGCCTAAAGGCGAATGAACTCTCACAAACACCTCCGCCGCCGCCACTCCAAAGGGCTTCCCTGCGCAAACAGGTGCGACCTGACCTAATTTTCTATTGGCTGTCGCATTCTTGTCGTATAATAACAATAACATTTTACTGAAATAGTTAGTCACCCGCGATGCTTGGTAGAGTGTACACCGGTGCGCCAAAACTTAGGTTACGATTACGTAAATTAACCTTTTGTTTTTAAAATCGTTATTTTTTAAAATAATTAACAAAAATCATATTAAAAATATCAAAGGAAAACATCGCCTAACTCTAATAAACTATTTATTTACTTAAGAAAGCCTATTTTTTATAAACAGAAAAAACAAGCAAATTGAACTGGTAAAGAGATTAGTGAAATATAATTCATCAGTTAATTGTAATCAATTTACTGTACCTTTTTTAAATGATTTTAATTTTAACAATACTGAAATGGAATGAAAAATAAAGGAAAAGATAAAATGCTACAACAGGCAGATACAAACTATATTAACCTATCTATAGTTATCTAAAATATGACTAAAAATGTGCAAAATAACTAATAATACAAAATATTAAATAAAATTTGTAAATTAAGTGGTACACACTAAAGGNTTAATTTCCTGGTTTTGTAATTGTATTTACTTTTATAAGTCCCTAGAAACTGTTAGTTATTAAATACGTTATATATATTATGTATTAAACTATTAATTGAAAGAAATATGTTTGAATTAGTGTAATTAATAAATATTTGGGTCTAATTAATAAAATATTTTAATTTTATTAGCTTTTTATTGAATAACCTTTAATATAGAAGTAATTTATTGAAGAATTAAGCAAAAATATTTTCAGTTAAAGTTGAGTTGTAAAAACGCAATAAATTTCTATTATTTTGCAAAAATGAAGCTAACGAGAGCCTATTAAGATTGTTTATTAAATAATATATGATATTAGATGCGATTTATTGATGTATTTAGCAAAAATTTTCAATAAAAGTTCTATTTTAGTTCATATACGTGGGTCGTTTAAGACCGAAAAAACGTAAAAAAAAACCTAAATAATAATTTTTTGGCAAAAATAAAGCAAGCAGGAGCCCTTTATATCATTTATCGGTTAATCTATATTATCAGTTATCATTTATCTAAGAATTAAGCAAAAATATTTGCCAAAAGTTCTATTTTGGTTCCCAAACAATCGACAGGTAGCATACATGGGTTTTTTTTGGGAACCGAAATCGAACATTAGGACAAATTTTTGCTTAATTCGCCAGTAAATGATAACTGATATGGATAATTGATTAATAAATGATAAAAAGTAGCTGTGGCTTGCTTTATTTTTGTCCATAAATGACTATTTATGGTGTTTTTTACGTTTTTCCGTTCAAGGGCGCTCCACGTATTCGAACGAAAATCGAAATCGAGAAGTAATGGAAAATTCAAAAGTTTTTTGAGAAAGACCCGATGCAACTTATGCTCTCCTAATACAAAAGTTGAAATTTATGAAAATTTTCAGTTTTGAGCCAAATACAAGTGTTAGTCGAAAAGTAATGGAAAATTCAAGTTGTTTTTTGAAAAAGACCCGATGCAACTTATGCTCTCCTAATACAAATGTTGAAATTTATGAAAATTTTCAGTTTTGAGCCAAATACGAGGGTTAGTCGAAAAGTAATGGAAAATTCAA